CCTCAGTCTCCTGGAGATGGGAGATGTTAATAGGGTCACACAGAATGTTAAATCTGGAAGGATTCTTAGGGATCTCATTTCCCCTGCTTCATTTTACAGAGGAGGCATCTGAGACCCACTTATGCCCAAGGTTATATGTAAAATTAGTGACAGAGCAATGGCAGGAATATTGATTTTCTTTGTAGATGCAGGGCCTTGCTCCTCTGGAGAGAAGATGACGGTGTGCTATCATCTTTGCTGAGAATCATTCTAAATATCTTCTACACTCATGTGAAGTATTATCTGTGTTCACTCTTCCGGATACAGCCGGATACCTTCACTGAAGCTGTTGATTAATTACCAAGAATCATCAAACTTGGCAGTGACATTCCCTAGGCAAAGGCTGTCTTCCTGCCTGAAATGCCAATCTGGGTGAAGGTCTGGGACACTCCATGTTTTCTGACATTTTTGGCTGCATGGCCCCTCTGCCTGGGGCTGCTTCAGTGGGAAGAGGGTTGACTTTAACAAACAAGATGCTGCTTCCCACCAGCAGGCCTGCTGCTGCTGTTGTTTCTAATCCTCTAAAGGCGGGATCCTCCATATGTTCACCTACCCCTACCCCAGCACAAAGCTGAATGAGTGAACAAGCAAGTGGGAGGGGCTGGGACCAGTGGAATTTCAAAAGAGGGCTGGCATTAAGCCTAGTCAGGCAATAAGAAAGGCAAACGCTGTATCATAAAGGAATAAATATTGTGGGCCCAAATGCTAAGAACTGAGTTTCTGGTTCTACTATGCACCAGATAACGTCAAAATAGTCCTCCACCAGGAAAAACAAAACGTCTTTGGCATCAAATCTGAATATAATTTTATGATTTTCAAACTCATGCAGTTTAAAATGAATAATAACATTACTATGCCATTATGACAAGTGTAAAATAACATGCATTTATGCCTTGTATTTATGATCATATTATACTTTGCCCCCTAATAATGTTGCACAATTTGGAAATATGTATGCCATATCTTTAAAATATTTACATCCTTTTTTATAGAATTATAAAATAACATTATGGATATGGACACATAAGAACAAAAAGAGAACAAAGATCTGTGTGTAATGTAAGTCATGAAAACCTGTTCCTCCTATCTCCTGCTGCAGATATGAAGACACTGCTGCTACACTTCTGGATTTTCCACAGTTTGCATCAAGCTAAGCTTCGGCGTCGGTGGGGGGTGGTTCTCCAAGCCAATCACGGAGCAGGATGGGGCTACTTGGGGGTTATCTAGTGAGATGAAGAGCTCCTTCAATAAATGGTCTTAGCTTGAGGACTCCCCAGTGATCTGGCTGAAACTTTCTTGGAACTGTGCTTCAGTCTGAGTCTTCCTAACATCATTACACCACTACCTTCTGTCTCTCCTTCAGTGGAAGCCAGACCTGCATTTTATTCCAAAGAGTCTCCCCACCTTTCCTTTCCCCAGTGTCTCTTTCTTGTGTGTCTAATTCTGTCTTGTCTGCTTTTTGGAAACTCAAACACTTAAGACTATTTATCCCATTAGTCATTACAAAAAATGCAAGTAACCTAAACTTGCAATTGTGTAATGAGATTTTTAATGATTATTATAGTAAAACCAACAGATATCACATTTTTAAGATGTAAAAATCATATTTTGGGCTTAAATGTCAAAATATATTTAAAAGAGCTACATCTTTGTTAAGATGATAACCTTATTTAATTAAAGTAAAAATCGAACAATGGGTAAAGATGGTAAAATTTTACAATACATAGAACTAGAAATGACAGGCAAGCCTGACTCTTTCTTCCACAATCCTTTCAATAAAAAGTTTTTGCTACTAAAACTAGTTTAGTTCCTATATTAAAGGGTTACTTTTACCTTGTATTCCTCCTTGCAACTTACGGATTGATGCTTACTTTCTTTCTTAACCTCTAAACTCCATAAGAGGAACTCTATAGGATGTCTTCAGGATAAGTCTAAGAAATTATCGTGAAGTAGAAGGTCCCTTCTACTTTCCCCAGATCTTCACATTATGCCCCTGATTTCTTGTGAGGCAGATATGGACAACTTTAACTTAAAAGTGAGGAGAAAAAAAAAAAAGTTTAGAGATGGAAGTAAATTGAACAAATGAAGAAACTAAATACTTGGAATATAAATAATGAAGTTATCCTATCTATTTAGCATTATGTTTTTATTGAAAGCCATTTGATAGCTATCAGCCTAGATACTCGATTGTATGAATTGCTTAAGCATGTATTCATTTATTGCATTTATGTGTCAGTTATCAGCCTATTCAGCCTATGTATTGAGTGAAGAGAGGCAAACGACAGCTGTTTGCAGGCTTAAAAGTATTCCAATGTGCCGAGCGTGGTGGCTCACGCCTGTAATCCCAGGACTTTGGGAGGCTGAGGCGGGCGGATCACGAGGTGAGGAGATCGAGACCATCCTGGCTAACACGGTGAAACCCTGTCTCTACTAAAAAAATACAAAAACATTAACCCGGCGTGGTGGCAGGCACCTGTAGTCCGAGCTACTCGGGAAGCTGAGGCAGGAGAATGGCGTAAACCCGGGAGGCGGAGCTTGCAGTGAGCCGAGATCGCGCCACTGCGCTCCAGCCTGGGTGACAGAGCGAGACTGCGTCTCAAAAAAAAAAAAAAAAAAAAAAAAAAATTGGTATTCCAATGTATATAGCAGAGTAAAGAGGTAACTACAAAAGTGTAGTAAACTATCAGTGTTACTATGCGAGAAATAGGTTTTAGGAGCACTCAAAAACTATCTCACTCAACACACTTGCAGCCATCTTATGTGGTCAAAACTGTAAAGGATAAATTAAATTATTGCTAATCTTTATTTTTGAAACAATACCTAGCATTGTGTAACACACACTCCAGGGGCTTAATAAAAGTCACTTTTATTTCTGTTCCCACATTCCAGCATATGGCTCTACCTACGTATCATTGACTATGGGAATAATTTTTTAACATTCTCCACATTTCCATATTTTCATTGAGCGCTTTTTTCCCAAATTAGTTTACTAAAAATATCCACTGCAGAAGGTTTCCACCTGGCCTTATCTTCTAGAATTTGTTCAATTTGGGGGTCTAGGCATTGAGGATAGGAAACACTGGGAATCAATTCCTTCTTTATAGTCACACCACTCACTGGCTTTTCAGCTTTTCATTGATTCACCATTGTCTTCATTATGAACTTCAGACATTTTAGCATGGAGTACAAGATACTCACTGATGTGGCTTCTTCCAGTTTCTCCTTTCAGGTACCCCATTATGTCTCCACTCTATTAACGTCCATAAGTTTCAGATAAACTCAATTCATTGTGATACCAACCGCTAATGCTCTACTCTTTTCTGTCTCTTCTCCTGCTCCTCACAGCGAGGTTTTACAATATGCTATCCTTCCCTGGGGGTACCTTTACACCTCCTCTCATAAGTTCAGCGTAGGTATTTTCACTGGTTCTCCAAAAGTCAGCTTAAGTTCTCCTTCTGCAACAAGTACTCCTTCACCCTTCTCATGCCCGATGTGTCTAAGGTGAACGTCCTATTAGAACGCTCTGCACGCCTCTATCTTCTCACTTACTATAGAATGTTAATATTAGTTTCAATCTCCTTCATAAGTCTGGGAGCCACATGAGTGCAGGTGCCTTTTCATTTGTTATTATACTTTAAGCACATGAGTAGAGATACATAAACCTGTCTTGGATAAATGTTGAATTAAATGAGTGTCTCCACAAATCCAATATAAAAGCGATTGATCATAGTAGAGAACCAGTAGTAAATTATCTATTACTTGTGTATATAATTTGTTTAACAAAGACATTTCCTTCCTTAGAGCTTTTAGTGCTCATTAAAAAATTAAAATATTTGAATGACTACTCCTGTTAATAATGTCTATGTCAGAATTTTTATTGCAAAAGTGCTAAAAATAAAAATTCAAAAATTCTAGCAGTATTTTTCCAAAGTGAGTTGTATAAAACACCTGTTTATTGTTTATTTGTTCCAAAATAATTGAAGAGATATATACATCCAATTATTATATAACATTTTAGGTACTCTGTGTGTGTGTGTGTGTCTTTGTGTGTGTGCATATTATATTCCTAAAAAGTTGAGGAAATGTGATTAATATCTTTGAATAGATTTTATTTTGTCAAAGATTGTTGGAAGTCCCAAAATAATGTGCATTGTGAATTACTAAAATGGGTAATTTTTTTTTTTTTTTGAGACTGAGTCTCACTCTATCACCTAGACTGGAGTACAGTGGTGTGATCTTGGCTCATTGCAATCTCCGTCTCCCCAGCTCAAGCAATCCTCCCGTCTAAGCCTCCCAAGTAGCTGGAACTGCAGGCACACACCACCACTCCCTATTAATATTTTTATATTATTTTGTAGTGACAGGGTTTCGCCACGTTGCCCAGGTTAGTCTTGAATTCCTAGGTTCAAGCAATCTGCTCACCTTGGCCTTCCAAAGTAGATGCCTGGGATTACAGGCATGAGCCACCATGTCCAGCTAAAAATGAGATTTAATATACATTGATGATGGGTCATTTTTTCTTAGAACATTCAGCCAATAATATAATTAAAAACGTATTAATTTAATGTGTGTCAAGGCATTTTCAGAATTAGTATTCCATGGGAAACACTTCAGAAAATGTTTAAGGTAACATTTCATAAATGCCAACATTGTTTTCAAGCCTAACTAATGTGTTATACTTATGGTAATAAAATTTACTTTGCCATGTACAGATATGAATGTATACATCAACTTAATAGACACATCCTTATTCTCATTACATTTATCCCCTGCCTTAGGATCCAGCAAACATCCTTACACCTAATAAGAGTTAAGTAAATACTTTTCTGGGTTTACCCAAATCTAATTACTAATTATGACTAATTTGTTGTAAAATCAGAATTTAAAAAAAAATACTAAAATAATCCAGGATACACAACATTCTTAAGAAATATACTATTGTTCCCCTCTGTTCATGCAGTTTCTTTTTTTTTTTTTTTAGAATAACAAAAAATATTTTACTAAAACATAAGATTTACAGAAGTTTCCAGACAAGCCACACAAAATGGTCACAAGCTTTTTTTGAAGGAGGGAATCTACACTTGACAGCAATGTTATTAGTGAGGGCTGTGATGTTTGTTTAATGTTCCCATTTTAGTTCAAACAATCAAGCTTGTCCATCTACAGCATCTAAATAAAGTTAGACTTGGCTAGAGAGCACATTCTAGAGACCTGGTTAGCTACTTTTAACCAATGCAATTAGATCACCCAAAAAGGGGGAAAGGAGCCCATAAAATTAAAATAAAACTACCTCCCCCTTCAAAAAAATAAAATAAAATAAAGAAAAACACCCACACCCCTGCAGCTAACCTGACAACTACCTTCATTCACAGTGCTTTATACTTAAACCAGGATGGGGGAAATGAATAAAAGCAGGGAGGAACCACTGCTTTTAAACGTTTCATAGCAATCCAGATCATTCTTCTAGCCTCTGCTCATGCTTTATGACAGTGAATCAGGACAAGACATAGATTTGCTATTGTGCATTTAATCACCAAAGGACTGAAGATGTCTGGGCTTTTTTATTCTGTAATGTTTCTAAGACTGTGTCCACTAAATGCAAACAAAAAGGAGGAAGTCTTGGCAGAACAGGAGAAGTGATGCACACTTGATGATCGGATCAATTTAAATATTATTCATGGCATATAGCCTAGTCCATGCTCTAGCTGTTTCTATGGCTTGGGCTTCGTTGGTCTTCCACTGCTCCACTACATCATTTGCTAATGGATCATCTGGATTGGGAGCACTTAACAAGGCCTGGATCCATAGCAGAACTGTGCGGATCTGCAGTGCTGGGGACCACTTATCTTTCAAAATATCTAAACATATTCTTCCCAACTTGTCTACATTAGGATGATAAATTTTGATCATGAAACGTACTTTAGGGGCTGCCATTGGGTATTCTTCAGGAAGGAATAGTTCAAGTTTAAAAATCCCTCCCTTAAAGGGGGAATCTTGAGGGCCAGCAATGACCACATGAAAATAACGGGCGTTGCTCTCATCTGGTTCTGCTTTGATGCCAGGAACTGGTTCTGCCAGCAAACACTGGGTTTCTTTCATGATTCTGCGGGGCAGCCCGGCCATCTTGTCAGAACCCGAGTTCGGCCTCTGTTCACGTAGTTTCTAATAGAACTGATGTAGTTTCTCATATACCTGAATTTAAAGTGTCTGGTGTTTCTCATACACAAGTTAAGGTGGAAGACTGCCAAGTCAAGGCGAGCTGAGATTCTTCTCCTGGCATTACAGATACTGCACAGTAATCTCACAAAAGTTATGTGATTTAAATAAATACATCAGAAACTACTCACGGTAATAAGTCATAAAACATTTGTCTCACAAATTAGAATTGTGAATGGTAATCCGTGAAAACCAAGAACGTGCTCAGTTCTATTAACCAAATCACCATTCTGAAAATGCTGATTGCATATTGGCTCTTAATGCATATTCATTCTGACTTCTTTTCTGCATGTATCTATCATTCGTATTATTTATATAACTGAAGTTTGACACACTCTAATAAGCACAAATTAACATTGACCTTTTTACTCAGATCTCTGAAACTTTAACCCATTTAAACTTTTAATACCTAAAAATAAATTTAACAAAATCAAACATGCTCTTATTAAAATGATTTAATTATTTCAGTGATACGGTATTTATTTGGCCCAGTAACCATTAAGAGATAATAGATATTTCTTTTGCTAATATAGCATGAATATAATGAATGAATGACATTTAGAGAGTAATTAACATCATTGCCACAGTTAATGTCTTTCTCCATATCATGAGGATAATGTCTCTTGATCTGCCCTCATGATGTGTGACATTCTTATTTTATAACAGATGTATCACTGCTTTTCAACAGTTTTCCATTATCTCACTTTTACAGTTCAAATCATTCATATCACAAATGCAGAGGTATGAGACAGGGTTGTAGAAATGCCTATTCGTGGTAGTCTACCATGAAGGTCATAACTCAATTTCATTATATTTTTGTTTAAGAACTAGGCATGCTTTTTATGTCCATGAATCAAATTAATTTATACACCATGCTTGGTATTTATTTTAAAACAAATAATATCACCATTAAAAAAAAAACTAGTCACTTTCTAATTTCCTATCTAATTTCACATGTTGCTATCTTGTTCCTTTTGAATAATTTACAAGAATTCCATTATCCTCTAATAACAGAACCTGTAATTTTCCATGTTTGATAAAATCATTTGATATTAACTATTTTGGGCCAAAGGTCTTTTAATTGCCTTCTGTCCTTTAAATAATTTATTTTAATTGAATTTTTGTGATAGCTGAAAGAGAAACTGCACATTGCATTGTACCCTCCTATAATCCATAAACAGTTTGGGCAAAGGTCTACTCATAGAAGCTCTACTTCAATTGCTAGATTTTTTTCTATATTACATATATGATGGGGGTGTATTTCTTCATTCATTTATTTTATTTATTAAAAAATTATTTGTGACTACTAAAATGAAATTGGTGTTAGTTGCTTGGTACACTGTAATGAACAAAGTAAATTAGCTCCTTACTCTCATGGGGCTTATATTTGGAAAACATAATTAAAACTTGCAATATATTCTCTGAAAAATAAAATAGAGACACCAACAGAAAACAAGAGGAGTCTGTTTAAAATTAAAGTGGTTGGGTACAACCTGTCCAAGATGATAACATGCAAGAGAGAACAGCTCATGAAAGCGCCTGGAGGTAAAAAGAGTGTGATTATCTTCATAGTGTGTGAAGATGACAAGCGTGGTGAAGGAGCCCAGTGTGTTCTGAGCCAGTCAGGGAAGAAGACGGTGGCAGGAAATTAAGTCAAAGAATGAACAGGGGCCAGAACTGAAAGAGTCTCGTAGGTGTCTGTCACCGTTTGTTCAGATAAAACTTAAAAGAATTTCCTTAGGAGCTTAAGTTTTCCCTCTTTATGTTCTTCTCGTTGCTAATTAAGGAAATATTACTCTTGGAGCAAGTGTTGTCTGAATGTATTGCGCCGGGCAGTCCACCAATGTGAATGCTGTGATTTGGTGGTTAGCATGTTACCTTGCAATGTGGTGATAATCTACAGTGACATTTGAAGATCTGGCCTTTGTTTTAACCCAGGCTATGTCAGGTTGTGGCATCAATAGTGCTGTTGACACTTAAAAAGCAAAGTGTTTTCATAACATTTGCTTGGAAACAAAGTGCTTGTTAGTATAATGTTGGCATTTAAGAGTTCTATACTTTGGTGTCTACATATGCATGTGTATATACATACATAAAATTATTATATAGGAAATAGGCAAGTCAACATAAAGCAGTTTATATGAGGATAAATTAAGATTATTTCTGTGATCATATCTATCCCAGTCCTAAATTTACATGAGCTATTCAATAAAATATTAGTTTATTTCCCTCATCTTTTATGTGCTATGCACTGGAATGGGCACTTTATTTTATCTTACATAAGACAGTAAACGTTTTTGTTTCCCCTTTATCTACAAAACAATGAATTTTATTAAATTATTATGAAGCCTCTTGAGTAGCATCATTTTATAAATAGTAGATTTCTACAACAGCCTTGTAAAACAGCCAATTTTCCCCTCATACAATCTCTTGACTATCTTCTAAGGCAATAGTTCTCAACCTTGACTGCTCATGAAAATCTTCGAGAGAGCTCCTAAAAATCCCTATAAGCAGGCTTCTCCTGAGATCAAATCATAGTCTTAGGGGCAGGGACCATGACATGTTTGTTTTAAAAGTTTCCTAGGTTATTTAAATGGGAAGTCAAGGTTGAGAGCACTGCCCTGGGTACCATATACAGTGAGGCCAAGATTATCTTACAAAAATGCATGCATTCACCTTTCAAAAAATGTATTGTCCTTTAAAATCCTACTCTGCTTTCAAATCAGAAAAGAATTGTCAGCTCTGTTATGAATTCTTTCTGTTTGAAATAGCCTTTTTTCTTTAATGAGTAGCCATTGTGTATATTTCTATAATAGCACTTATAGTGTCCTATAAAAAAGAAACTGAAATGTTGGACTTTTTTTTAGAAGGTAAGTTCCTAGAAGGCCAGGATAGTTTCTAAAGCCTTTATACCAGTCAGAACAGTGACTTTTCATACAATATAATTTTATAATTATAATTTAATAATGTTTCTTTAATAATGTTAATAAATAGAGGAAGACATCAAAGTCTACCTCTATTTATATACATATCTTTATTTCTATATGTATATTAATAATGCTACCTATCTATAGATATATAGATCAACGTATATCCTTATAGATATATAAAGATATAATATAGGTATATATATAAAATCAGTCCAACAAATGCATGATTTTATATTATCTTGGAATTTTACATTGATTTTAATACAAAAACATGTTAAATAACTTCATAATATTTTCTTAAAATAGTAGTGATAGAACTTTGTCTTTTAAATGTAATTGATGCTCAATGATATTTGATGATACTTTTTTTCATGGCATCAGTATATCTTTTAAAATATTTCTTTGAATATCTGACTCTGGAAATTATAACATACTCATTGTTTGTCAATAATTATCAGAGAAGGGGAAAGGGACAGTGACTTAACTATATAGATTTATTTTTTAAAGGACCGATGGAAGAATGAGATAGCTTTTGAAAACAAAGCAATGTGATTGAATTGGGAAACATGGATCCTAGTTTGAAATCTGACGTACATTTACTGGTTGTTTTCTCTTTCTGCATCTCAATTTCCTCCTCTGTGTTTGTACTTTTTATAAGACATAACTGAAGCAAACAACCTTCTCTATCACTTCCATGAATGAGAAAAAAAGAAAAAGTTTACTAACTTTTGATTCTATGTAACTATGTAATTCAAGTCAATGACGAAACCTCCCCTCCCTAGATGTTTTATCCTTGATGATTCAGGAAAGAGACTGAGAAGTTCTTGCATGTCAATGATAACTTTGCCTTTAAATTTTTATCAGGTAGGAAAGACTCAAAAAGGGTAAAAGGGAAGTGCCGATTAAAAAAAAAAAAAAATGCCCTACACACCACTGCACTCAACCTAGGCAACAGAGTAAGACCCTGTTACAAAAGAAATGTAAACAAATTAAAATAAAAAAGAATAGCTTCAAAAAATTGCATCTACCATGTCACAAGTGTGAAAACATCTATATTCTGGAGATATAAACATTGCTAAGATTAAAAAGAGAAGAAATAGAGAAGAAAACATGAACCTATATTTGTAGATCTCAGTGATGACTTTTTTAGTTAATATTTTGAAATTTCACTAGGGAAACTGAAGAAATAAATATTTAATATTATTTAATTTTAATTAGTTTATTCATTTTTATTTTTTTTTTCAACTTTTATTTTAGGTTCAGGTGGTACATGTGAAAGTTTATTACACGGGCAAACTGCATGTTGCTAAGGTTTGGTGTATGTTTGAATGATCCATCCAGGTAGCGAACACATTACCCAAAAAGTAGTTTTTCAACCCTTGCTCTCCAACCCTCCTCCCCTACAGTAGTCCGCAGTGCCCAGTGTCTATTGTTTCCATCTTTATCTCCATGCATACTCCAGGTTCAGCTCCCAGTTGTGAGAATAAGGGAGAATATACAGCAATTGGTTTTCTGTTTTTGTTTCTGTTAACTCAGGAAATGACCTCCAGCTGCATCCATGTTGCTGCAAAGGACATGAATTTGTCCTTTTTAATGTACGACATTTTCTTTATCCTGTCTGCTGTTGATGGGCATCTAGAATGATTCCACGTTTTTGCTGTCACAAAGAGTATTCTGATGAATATACGAGTGCATGTGTCTTTTTGATAGAATGATTTATTTTCCTTTGGAGATATACCCAGTAGTGGGATTGCAGGATTAAATAGCAGTTCTGTTTTAAGTTCTATGAGAAATCTCCAAACTGCTTTCCACAGTGGCTGAACTAATTTATACTCTCCCCAATAATGCGGAAGCATTCCCTTTTCTCCAAAATCTCACCAACATCTGTTATTTTTTGTCTTTTTAAAATAATAGGCATTCTGACAGGCACGAGATGGTATCTCAAAAACACTCCTGAAAGAAATCATTAATAATACAAACAAATGAAAAAACATCCAATGCTCATGGAACA